CACTTGTTTGTCATTGGCTGGTGCTTTGGTGTTTTCTGTTGGACAAACGTCTCTTTCTTCAGCCTGAGGAATTTGAAACATGAGATCGTTTGTCATCGTCTCTGTAACCGCACGAACATGCAGAGAAATGATCAGGAAGAGACTCAGTACTCACTTCTAATACCAAAACCGCAATGAGAATTAAAACACTCTTTCTTTAGACAATAGATACAGCACACAGCAAAAAGTGGAGTCTTAAAATTGACTCTCACAAATAAATTTTAACATTTTCTTAGTCTTTATATGAGACTGATTTGTCTGAGGTCTAGAACAGATTAATCAAATCTATAAACTTAAAATCAATAGTTATATTAATGTTTTGAGTAAATATAACATGTGTGAGTGAAACTAAACACAACTCCAGGACTGTTTTTAATGAGGTAACAATATAACATGAACGAGAGTAGGGTGATTGGAATTTTAATAAAAAAAACTGGGACATCCCCGTTTTTTTTGGTGGTTGGTAATAATAAAACTGAAAACTGTTCTCATAGTCTCTCTAGTCACATTTTCTTTGTGGTTTTGGTTGTTTTTAAGCAGATTTTCTGTATTTTACCTAAACAAATGACAATGTATTTCTCTCTTTACTGTTGGTAGGAATCAAATTGATCAAAAATAGGGACATCAGGGATATTTCTTGTGTAAAACTGGGAGAAATCAGTGGTTTTGTATAAATCTGACGGGACAGGGGACACAGGGCTCAACACTGGGACTGTCCCGGGTAAACAGGGACGTCTGATCACCCTAAACAAGAGTGTCGCAATGTCTTGTGTGCATACGATGATGCAAAAGCCGGGGTGTAGTGAACGTGCTTATGCAAGGGTCCGCCATCCACCCACTTCTCCCGATGTGAAAGATAAAAAAAATTACAAATATAAAACGCCCTACAACTTAAATGTCAAACCGAATCTACTGGCAACGGTGAAAACAACCTGTATAGGCTCATGAAATCTGCACTACTGTCCTATAGAGACATGAGGGACCAGGACTGAACCAGGATTAAAACAAGACTAAACCAGGAGTCTCTATGGGCCTGTTTACACGAGAACACTTGCGGGTAAAAACAACAAAATATTTTATCGGAAGTGCCTTTTGTTTAAACAGTGACGGCACATGGTTCATCAGCCTTTTTAACTTCGTGGAAACCGTGTGACCTCTCAGCATTAGATAAGATAAGATAAGATAATCCTTTATTGTCTCCCATGGGAGAAATTTGTCTTGGGACAGGGGGTAACATGTTTTATCAAAAAAAAAACAGGACAACACAACACAAAGCAGCACATAAACAAACACCATAAAACAAAGTAAATATGAGACCAGTATGACCACGAGTGATGCACCAACACGACCCTTAAATTATCCTTAACAGGCCCTTGCATTCTTCTGTTCATTCATCATATTGATTATTGCACATTCCCTAAGCCTATGTGCAGTTTTGATTGCACATTCCCTAAGCCTATGTGCAGTTTTGATTGCACATTCCCTAAGCCTATGTGCAGTTTTAGTTATAATTATTGCACATTCCCTTAGCCTATGTGCAGATTTAATTATTGCACATTCCCTATACCTATGTGCAGTTTTGATTGCACAATCCCTAAGCCTTTTAGGATTCGTTCACTTGACGGTAGGCGGGTACTTTTTTTATTTAACCAATCGCTGCTATTTGGTCGTGACGTATGTAATGCGCCGCTAACGGGGCAAACTGGTATATTAAGCTTTTTCCCAAATCCCATAGGAGGAAGCACAATAACGTCTTTCCCCTTGATAAAATTCACCAAACATTCTCTTTGTTCCAGCTTTAAATCCTCGATCTCAGGAATCGTTGCCAACACAGAATGTTTGGCTCTTCGCTGATTGGCTGGTGCCCGAACTTGCACTTCTGGAGTTTTTGCGAACCGTCTATTGCGCTCTATTCCGCATGCCTCCTGTAGAAATAGCTCGCTGCAAATAGTGAAATATTCAGCCGAAAACGGTAATCGAGCAGCAGAAAGAAAGTTTGGAGTGAGAGAGAAACTTGTGACACCGGGAGGATGAACCGTGAAACTTTCCTGAAGTCACTGGATGGATGGACAAAGTCTGGACTTCAGTGACACCGAAACCATCCTGTCGGGATTCAGAAAGACCAGAATAATTCTAACTGGAACTGATGCTGAGTCTGACGACAGCGACACAGCAAAGAGGAGACGCTCTGTTCACCTCGTGGATCTATGGTTTATCTCCAGAAGTCGTGCAGAAGTGACACCGAGGATGAAGAATTCGATGGATTTAGTGATTTGGAGTGAGATGGAGAGTTTGGTAAACTTATTGTAACCCGCATCTGAGACACTTTTATTGTTGCGGGTCAATTCTGCTTTACCCCGATCTCTCCCACTTCCTTTAAGTTGCGGGGTCACCGTGTCACTTCCTCCTCCTCTGCTCCGCTGTGGCTGTGGCGTGGTCTGGGCGTCGGCAAACAATTTCAATAAACTTTTAAACTACGAATCTTACAACATCCACATTTAGAGCCTCCGTAGAGATTCATACAAACCGGGCCGTGTTTGGAGAGAAGATCGCAACTCGAAATTCAAAGGTCAGGGTTTTTTTTCCTATGGACTGATTGAACTCCAGCCTCGCAGAAATTCTCAACTCAACTAGAAACCGATTGATGGCGAGCTCACCCAGAACCTGAACTAAGATTAACTTGAATCAATATACCGATTAAAGGTTGTATAGAGGATTTTTTAAGGGAAGAGAAATACAGCGACAGTCCTTTTTCAAATGTTGTGCATGCGTGACACCACCTTCCTCCTCCCCAGCTCCCTCAGTAGAAACACCTCCTCCCGCCTCCTTACTCTAGAAATCACGCTTGTTTACAGCCAGTGCACGTTCAGAATTACTGTTGAAGTGACCTGTCTAGAAATATTTTAGCGACCAACATGTCAGTCTTTAAACCCTTCGTCTGCTTCAGTCGCACCATCGCTGGAAGGAATCTCCAAGAATCACCTCAGTTTGTCTTCACTCCTTTTCCCCTTCTAGTCTTCTTTCAAGCGACCTCAAAAATTGACTTTATTTTGCGGTGAACTGGTCATGGATTCTCGTCCACCATCGCAACAAACTTTGTGTGAATTGCAAGAAAGCGACAGTTTGAAAAAACCTAAGAACAGCTGCATAAACCACGAAATCCCTGCGCATCGGCGAGTCAATAACACTAGAAACATAGGGAGTTTGATTGACAACCTAACAGCCAATAGATAAAGAGGGAGCCTCGTTATCTATTGGCTGATGTTTATTTGGCCTCACTACGTCCACAGTTGATAGATTTTCATTGGGGTTTTTTTGGTCATCATAATTACAAGGCCGCTGTGTCTCTGTAATGGTATTTTAAACTTTCACTGACAATTTGAAACAAAAAAAAATCCTCCATACAACCTTTAACTGGATTGTTTTTTATTTTCTATTTTGTTTTTGTTGTTGTTGCGCTTTGTAAAAATTTCTTTTCAATATACTTCACCCAAACTTCAAATTCCTGTCTGTCTCTTCATTCACACTCCGGCTTCTAAAAGGACAATCTTCTGATGCAGCCTTTGTGGCCGTAGTCTGCCTCTAACCCTAACAAATTTGCGTTACATTATGTTCTGTTGTTTATGTTTTAATTATCTGAAGAACTGTTCATATGTGACAGTCTGTTGTTCTCTGTTCTATTGTTCGGACTTGCCTTTCAAGATGAAATGTCGGTCCCTGGTTTCTGATTTCACAAAATACATTTCCCCTAAAAGTGCGACTTATATTCCGGCATGATTTATATATGTTTTTTTCTTCTTCATTACGCATTTTTTGGCTGGTGCGACTTATTCTCCGGAGCAATTTATAGTCCGAAAAATACGGTAATACTAATTGTTGATTTACGAATAATGTCGACTGATTTCAGTCCAGTCCAATCCACTTTATTTTTATAGCACATTTCACAAACAAACTGTTTCCAAAGTGCTGCACAAATACATAAAAAATAACAACAATAAGATGATAAAGTAAACTACTAAAATAATACTAGTCTTAAAGTAATAAAACCAGTAAAATAAAATAAAACCAGTAAAATAAAAATTAAAACTAAATCATAGAATAGAAATAAATAAACCAATAAATAAATTAAATCCGTAAAACCAATAAAAACACATAAAAATAAATAAAAGACACAGAGGCACACAACTCCCGCGGTGTTAAAAGCCAGAGAATAAAAGTGGGTCTTCAGACGAGATTTAAAACTCTCCACTGTTGATCGTTCCAGAGTTTAGGGTCGACCACAGAGAAGCTCCTGTCCTCCTGGTTTCAAGTCTCGTCTTAGGCCCTGAGCTGGAGCTGGACCTCGGACCTCAGAGCGCAGGGGTATAAATTTGGATGAGGTCCGAGATGTACTGTGGGGCCAGTCCATTCAAAGCTTTAAAAACAAACAATAAAATCTTAAAATCAATTCTAAAATTAACAGGAAGCCAGTGCAAAGACGCGAGGATTGGGGTGATGTGCTCTTCTCTCCTTTTTGTTCCTGTTAAAAGTCGCGCTGCAGAGTTTTGGAAGAACTGTAGTCGGTAAAGTGCGTTTTGCGAAATGCCGGAATAAAGTGCATTACAGTCGTCCAGGCGCGACGAAATAAAAGCGTGCGTAACTTGTTCAAATAGTTTAAAGTTAAACCTTTTTTATCTTTTAGATAAAAGTCGCAAATGATAAAAACTTGATTTTAAAACATTGTTAATCTGTTTATCAAATTTAAAATCACTGTCTAAGATGACGCCGAGGCTGGTGACCGTGGGACGAACATCATTTTTGATTTGGGTCGTGAAGGTTTGTGACTTTTAAAATATGCGTCCACAGAAAAAAAAAAGTCTGGGAAACCTTTAAAATATCTTAAATTAAGCACATTTCAGGAGTGTAAGACCTAGTTCTCATTCCACTTAAATTAAGAAAGTGTCTCTTGTGTTTGCGTGCAGATCCTGGGCTGGTGCATCATCATCGTGGCCGCCCTGGTGGGTCTGTGTGGGACCTGCTACACAAACTGCCGCTCCAAAGTGAGTTACCTGCAGCTCACCTTCTGGAAGCGCTACATGGACAAGGAGAAGGAGCGTTTTGACTCGTTCGCCGTGGATTACGCCACCAAACTCGCCGAGAGGAACCTGCAGAGCTTCTTCGAAAACAAGGACCCGGAGCCTTTCCCGTTCCCCAACCACCGCGCCTGGGAAGAGATCTCAGCGCTGTACACGTTCACCCGCAGCGAGCAGTGTTACAGTACTCTCCAGAGGTACGTGGAGGGAACCGACCGCGACGACCACCCCGAGAAGAGGCCCGTGATGGACGAGGAGCGTGGCATGGAGATGAGATGAACAAATCCTGGTTTAGACCTGGTTTAGACCTGGATTAGACCTGGTTTAGACCCAGTTTAGACCTGGTTTAGACCTGGTTTGGACCTGGTTAGTTTTAGTTAAACCCCTGAGAATAGGCCCATGATGGACGAAGAGCTTGGCATGGAGATAAAATGAACAAGTCCTGCTTTGGTCCTGGTTTAGACCTGGATTAGACCTGGTTTACACCTGGATTAGACTTGATTTAGACCTGGATTAGACCTGGATAAACTTGGTTTAGACCTGGTTAGTCTTATTTACACCCCTGAGAAGAGGTCCGTGGTGCACATAGAGCATGACACAAAGATGAACTGAATAAACCCTGGTTTAGACCTGGTTTAGTCCTGGTTTAGACCTGGTTTAGGCCTTGCCTGAGCCGCCAGTCCCTCCTACATTCAGTTTGAATCCAGAAAGGACTTGAATCGGACCAAAGAGCATGAAAAACCTCCGTCCAAACTTGGAACAGTCCAACCAAAGCCTCGTCTCCCTCAAATGCAGAAAATATCTCCACTTGAACATTGTTTCATTCATAACAACTTCTTTTACCTGTGATGAAGAAGAGTTTGGTGCTTTAATTCTTGACTCTAAAGAAACCTCCTCAGTTTTTAAAACTCTGTGTTATTTTTTTTCTTCTCTTTTTTACGTATTGTCATATTTGTTTGAACATTAACGGACCGTGCATCTCTCTGATCGCCCTCTGGAATCAGAGAGACAAGATACGGCTTCAGACTCACTCGTGTTTGTAAAGTTTTGTCAAAATGTGTGGTTCTAGGTGGACAGGTGTGTTTTGGCCTGGTTTAGACCTGGTTTAGACCTGGTTTGGACCTGGTTTGGACCTGGTTTGGACATGGTTCACAGCTGGTTTAGACCTGGTTTAGACCTGGTTTAGACCTGGTTTAGATGTGGCATTAAGATAGTCTAGTTCTAGCCTAGGCTTCGTCACTATGTCCCGGAGAAGAGACCCATGACAAACATGGATCATGACATTAAGAAGTCTTGTTTTAGTCCTGGTTTAGTTCTTCTAGATTAGTTTTGGTTTAGTTCTGCAAAGATGAACACACATTGAGATGAGCTGAAGTCCTTTTTTAGTCCTATTTTAGTCCTGTTTTAGTCCTGTTTTAGATGAGTTTACCCCTGGGTTAGTCCTGAGTTTGTCCTGGGTTAGTTCTGGGTTAGTCCTGGGTTAGTTCTGGGTTAGTTCTGGGTTAGTTCTGGGTTAGTCCTGGGTTAGTCCTGGGTTAGTCCCGGTTTATTCCTTGTGTTCTAGTTTAGGACTTCACCACTAAAAAGAAAATGACGCGATAAAAATGAAGCAAGATGAGCCAAGGTCCACACCAGGTCTAAACCAGGTCTAAACCAGGTCTAATGTGGAACTACCACTGGCCTTTGTTTCTCTGTTCTGATATTTGACATTTTGAACTCTCAGGATTAAATGAATCTCTACACTAAACATACTTTAAAACCTTGAAAACTGCTCTATACTATTGCACTTTTAACTGTGGAACATTCCAGATAAAGCAGTAAACAAGGAGGTGGAGGAACTATGCACCAGAAAAGTTACACAGTGCACCTTTAAAGTTCGATGCCTTCAGTAAAATGAAGCTGATATGAATGTGTAGAGTGTAGTCGGTATTTCACACATGTCTAGGCTCTTCTAATTTTGACTTAAAGTGAAAAAATACAAAGCACACTCAAGTTAGAGAGTTTATACTGTGATCTAAAGTGAGAAAAACTGATCTGACGAAGGCTTTTTTGCCGAAATGTTATTTAAAAATTTTAAAAATAGCTTTTGGACCTCAGCTATGCATTTTTTTCACTTTTATTTACTTGCATTTGCACCTTTACAAGAACTTTGCTCTGCGTTTTCTGTTTCATTTGAGACCAAAGATACAAACATTGGGCACAAGGGGTCAGTATAAGCACAAAGAAATTGAGGATTTTCAGATTTAGTCTTTCTTTCGTCCTGCTTTCTAACATTTTTTGAAACATTCTGTTAGTACAAAACATGTTTCTGTCCAACTTTAGTCCAGTTTAAGAAGATTTTATTATGAAAAGTGCACAATTATTAGGCAAGTTGTATTTATGAGAATTAATTTGTACGCACATAAACCTCAAACCTGAGTATTTAAGAAAGTTACAGTGACGTTTTGCCTTTCTTAGGAGAAAATATATGCATGCACAATCAGAATGTAACAATAACCAAAATATCGTGATATCGTATCATCAAAAGTCTCACAATAATATCGTGGGCTGTCACAATATATCGAATTACAAGTTTCTTTGCTTAAATGCAGGTATTTTTACACCTTTACAAGAACTTTGGTCTGCGTTTTCTGTTTCATTTGAGACCAAAGATACAAACATTGGGCACAAGGGGTCAGTATAAGCACAAAGAAATGGAGGATTTTCAGATTTAGTCTTGTTTTGAAACCTTTTATTAGTACAAAATATGTTTTTGTCCAGCTTTAATCCAGTTTTAAAAGATTTTATTTTGAAAAGTGAAATTTAAATGCCTTTCTTTCATGGCCTCTCATCTACAAACATACACCATGTGCACAATTATTAGGCACATAAACCTCAAACCTGAGTATTTAAGAAAGTTAGGGATGTAACAATAACAAAAATATATAAAATATCATATCGAAATATCATATCATATCGTTAAAAGTCTCACAATTATATTGCGGGCTGTCACAATATGTCGAATTACAAGTTTCTTTGCTTAAATGCAGGTTTTATAGAAGCAACACGCTTATAAACATCGGGAACTACATATCCCATGATTCATTTCAGCTCAGACAAAGAAGAAATATGTTTTTTACTTGAATTCTTGGCATAATGACGGAAATAATTCACACCAAAATCTTATCAAGGTATTTTAAAAGCAAAATGATAATATCGTACTGAGAGATTTGGATTTCGTTACATTCCCAGCGCACAGTTACTGGACAACTATTAATGTGCAGAATTATCTTCAGGTCAAACTAACACTTCACCCTCCCGCACCCCTCGGTACATTTTTGTACATCGCAACTTTACTTTTTAGCATAACTTTGACTTTATTGCACCAAATAGCACCAAAATTGGCCAGTTTGTGTATTTTGTGATGTATTTTTAGTGTCTGTGTTTTTTTTTCAAGATCACATTCATCAAACGGTCTATAATCAAAATAATCACACCTGTGCTCCTTCGGTACATTTTTGTCCCATTGACTTCCGTTCAAAATAGCTTGGTTTACTGGCAGAATTTTGACAGTTTTATTTTAATTTTTTGATTTAAACCCCTTCAAAATGTTTAGTTTTAGTGTCTTTTTGGTTTTTTTTTTTTTTTTTCTTTTTACTGTGTATAGTCCACACTGAAGACCAAAGATGTTTTTTATATATTTTAGATATTTGATGTAAAAATGATATGGGTGTGTTCGAGAGCAGCTCCAAAGTGCATTGAATGTGTTTGTTTGGGAGTGTGTGTGAGTTTGTGTGTGTGCAAATTAAAATTAGTTGGAAAACATAGAAAAAAATCAAATTTTTTCATTTTTTTCATGCACATAATTTGAGACTTCCACAAACAAAACTGGTATTTAACGTGTAAAATTTCAAAATCATATATAATATTTAGTATGTATGATTAGAGCAGAAGTAAATGAAGACACTGATATAAAAAAAAGTTGGACAAAACATCTGTACTTTATAAAAAAAATTTTGGTATTTGTCGATGTACATTTTTGACACGAAGGACCACAGGTGTGATTATCTGTGTAAAGGGGTGTATTAAATAAAACGGACTTTTCAGAGCTTTCTATTGTGTTATAACATCACAAATACGCCTAAAGAGGTTTATATACTGTATCATCCATGCATGTTTGAGCCATTTAGTGATCTGTCCAGGGAGACATCTATTCAAACCCTCCTTATGAAACGTTCTTGTTAAAGTTGGTCGAATGTAAAGAGGTTGTTTAATGTATTTTGTGTCCAAGGACTGCAGACGGAAAGGAGCTCGTAGCATCTTTTCTCCCTGTGATGAATGTTTTCTGTGCTCTGTTCTCGTTTAAATAAAATAAATAAATGAAAAATGGTTAGAAGTATGATCCTGTCCAAGACTTACAGCATTTTCCATAAAGTAGGACACAAAACAAAACACGAAATTCACAAACATGAGACTCAAATCTTCAAAAACAAAACTGAAACTTATTAAACATATAAACATTGACGAGTATCAGACACTAAAAGGTAAAATGTTGATCGAAATATGTGAGTTTTGTGTTTTGAGTTTGCACTTAAACCCCAGAGAAATGTAAAAGTCTTTCTGTAATCTTCTGTTTGTGTTACTGCATGAGTGTATGTTTACATTTGTCTGCATTTTTATACTGAAAAATAAAAATACTTGTTTGTACCACTGCTCGTTTCTACTTTACTTCATGACAGAATGAAAGACGAGATGCAGTAGTAGCAGTAGTATTATAGTATTATAGTACTAGTATTCGCAGTAGCAGTAATAATTGGCAGTAGTAGTAGTAGCAGTAGTAGTAGCAGTAGTAGTAGTAGTAGTAGTAGTTCTGCAATAATAGTAAAAGAGGTAGTAGCAGTAGTATTATAGTACTTGTATACTTACTTGTATGTGTAGTAGTAGTAGTAGCAGCAGTAGTAGCAGTAGTAGTAGCAGTAGTAGTAGTAGTTCTGTTTTTCACACTTTTTGTAAAATAGTTCTAGTTGCAATAGTAAAAGAGGTAATAGCAGTAGTAGTAGTAGTAGTAGTTCTGTTTTTTATATTTTTTGCTGCAAAAATTGTTCTAGTTGCAATAATAGTAAAAGAGGTAATAGCAGTAGTAGTAGTAGTAGTAGTAGTAGTAGTAGTAGTAGTTCTGTTTTTTATATTTTTTGCTGCAAAAATTTTTCTAGTTGCAATAATAGTAAAAGAGGTAATAGCAGTAGTAGTAGTAGTAGTAGTAGTAGTAGTAGTAGTAGTAGTAGTAGTAGTAGTAGTAGTAGTAGTAGTAGTAGTAGTAGTAGTAGTAGTAGTAGTAGTAGTAGTAGTAGTCTGTTTTTCACACTTTTTGTAAAATAGTTCTAGTTGCAATAATAGTAAAAGAGGTAGTAGTAGTAGTAGTAGTAGTAGGAGTAGTAGGTAGTAGTAGTAGTAGTAGTAGTAGTAGGAGTAGTAGGAGTAGTAGGAGTAGTAGTAGTAGGAGTAGTAGGAGTAGTAGTAGTAGTAGTAGTTCTGTTTTTCACACTTTTTGTAAAATAGTTCTAGTTGCAATAATAGTAAAAGAGGTAGTAGTAGTAGTAGTAGTAGTAGTAGTAGTAGTAGTTTCTGTTTTTCACACTTTTTGTAAAATAGTTCTAGTTGCAATAATAGTAAATGAGGTAGTAGTAGTAGTAGTAGGAGTAGTAGGAGTAGTAGGAGTAGTAGTAGTAGTAGTAGTAGTAGTTCTGTTTTTCATATTTTTTGCTGCAAAAATAGTTCTAGTTGCAATAATAGTAAAAGAGGTAGTAGCAGTAGTAGTTGTAGTACTAATTGTTGTAATAGTCACAGTCATAGTAGTAATATTATTAGTTCTATTTTTCATACTTTTTGTTGCAGAATAGAAATGGTAATAGAGGTAGTAGCAGTAGTATTATAGTATTATAGTACCATTATTTGCAGTAGCAGTAATAATTGGCAGTAGTAGTAGTAGTAGTAGTAGTAGTAGTAGTAGTAGTTCTGCAATAATAGTAAAAGAGGTAGTAGCAGTAGTATTATAGTACTTGTATACTTACTTGTATGTGTAGTAGTAGTAGTAGCAGCAGTAGTAGCAGTAGTAGTAGTAGTAGTAGTAGTAGTAGTAGTAGTAGTAGTAGTAGTAGTAGTAGTTCTGCAATAATAGTAAAAGAGGTAGAAGCAGTAGTAGTATTATAGTACTTGTATACTTACTTGTATGTACAGTAGCAGTAATAATTGGCAGTAGTAGTAGTAGTAGTAGTAGTAGTAGTTCTGCAATAATAGTAAAAGAGGTAGTAGCAGTAGTATTATAGTACTTGTATACTTACTAGTAGTACAGTAGTAGTAGTAGTAGTAGTAGTAGTAGTAGCAGCTAGTAGTAGTAGTAGCAGTAGTAGTAGTAGTAGTAGTAGTAGTAGTAGTAGCAGTAGTAGTAGTAGCAGTAGTAGTAGTAGTAGTAGTAGTAGTAGCAGCAGTAGTAGTAGTAGTAGTAGTAGTAGCAGCAGTAGTAGCAGTAGTAGTAGTAGTAGTAGTAGCAGCAGTAGTAGTAGTAGTAGTAGTAGTAGTATGTGCAGCAGTAGAGGTCAGTGGTCAGTAGAGGGCGCCAGTGCACCACACTCCCAGACTTGACCTAGAAAAAACCGTGTGAAGTCATTATTTTGTAATAGGCTGGATATCGTATCGAGAGACTTGGATATCGATATCGTATCGAGAGACTTGGATATCGATATCGTATCGAGAGACTTGGATATCGATATCGTATCGAGAGACTTGGATATCGTTACACCTCTAATATTTATATATGAGTATTTATATAAAAGTTGTAGAAATGCAAGTTTTTACTTTTTAAATGTTTTGACAAGATCTTAGAGTGAATCTTTACAGTCAGAACAGAAAGAATTCAGATTTTAAAATGCAGTTATTTTATCATGTAGTCTGGAAATATCATGTTCTTTGTAGTTGCCTTTGTTTTATTGTATTGTACTGCATATTACTGTAGTACTTTTGAGGATACCACATCACAGTACTTTAGTTACTGTTGCCATAGTAACAAACAGAGAAGTGGGAGCGGCTTGTTCCAGGTTGTGTTTGTAAAATTAATCACCACATTTATCAACTGTAAAGAGAAAAATATTTTATATAAACATAGACTTTTTTTTTTTAGCATCGAGTCTTCTCAAGTCCGAGTCAAGTCCCAAGTCTTAGACCATTTTATCAAGTCAAGTCTCAAGTCCTAAAAATTGTCCAACTTCTTCTTTCTTTTATTTATTTCTTGTTCGTTTGTTATTTGTTGTTGTTGTGTTTTTGTGTTGTGTGTTAGTTTTATATTTTTGTTTATTTTTTATTAATGTGCTGGGTTTTCTTTCCCTCAAAATGACAAAAAATTATTAACAAAAAAATTAAAAATTAAATAAAGCAGTAGTAGTAGTAGTAGTTCTGTTTTTCACACTTTTTGTAAAATAATTGTAGTTGCAGTAATAGTAAAAGAGGTAGTAGTAGTAATAGTAGTAGTAGTAGTAGTAGTAGTAGTAGTAGCAGTAGTAATAGCAGTAGTAGTAGTAGTAGTAGTAGTAGTAGTAGTAGTAGTAGTAGCTAGTAGTAGTAGTAGTAGTAGTAGTAGTAGTAGTAGTAGTAGTAGTAGTAGTAGTAGCAGTAGTAGTAGTAGTAGTAGTAGTAGTAGTAGTAGTAGTAGTAGTAGTAGTAGTAGTAGTAGTAGCAGTAGAAGTAGTAGTAGCAGTAGCAGTAGTAGTAGTAGTAGTAGTTCTATTTTTCACACTTTTTGTAAAATAATTGTAGTTGCAGTAATAGTAAAAGAGGTAATAGTAGTAGTAGTAGTAGTAGTAGTAGTAGTAGTAGTAGTAGTTGCAGTAGTCACAGTAGTAGTAGTAGTAGTAATAGTAGTAGTAGTAGTAGTAGTAGTAGTAGTAGTAGTAGTAGTAGTAGTAGTAGTAGTTGTAAGTAGTTTTTTATTTATTTATTTTTCGTTTGTTATTTGTTGTTGTGTTTTTGTTTGTGTGTTTTTGTTTGTGTGTTAGTTTTACATTTTGTTTATTTTTTATTAATGTGCTGGATTTTCTTTCCCTCAAAATGACAAAAATGATTAACAAAAATAAATAAATAAATAAAAACTGACAGAAACATTCAAGCGACACGTCTGAGCCTCGTCTGCAACCACACGTAAACACACACACACACACACACACACACACACACACTAGTAAAACACACACACACAGACACACAGAGTTGAGTTTTTTTCTGACATTACCTCGTCTTTTAATCATTTCCTGGAGTCTGATCCTAATCTTTGCCGCCGTCTCTTCTTGCCTAATCTAAACTTAATCCTCTGAACCTCGAGGCTCTGGACACGAGTGTTTGAGTAAAATGTGTCTTCAGATAAACAGATAAACACGATTGTATAAGCAGCTCCTCAGGTAAAAATAAGTCTGTTGTGCGCTGTCTGCAGAAAGCGTTTTAGTGTCCGGCAATCAGGAAGTGCGCGTTAGCATGCTCAGAATGTATAAGGTAAGAGGAAAAGGGCTGCGTAGAGCCAAGAATTATACTCAAGTAACAGGAACATGACTTCAGAATAATATTACATAATAATAATGGTAAAACTTTATTTGAGGGTGAACTTATTAACATCTAACTACCTGCTAATTAACACTGTTCTAGATCAGGGGTGTCAAACATGCGGCCCGGGGGCCAGATCCGGCCCTCCAAGACCTTTAATCTGGCCCTCGGCTGATTTTCTACTCAAATATTTTCATTATATTTTCTATTAAAATCGTGTTAATTTTCTGTGGTGTTTATCACAGCAGCGTCTCCAGCGTCTCTGTACGTGGCCCCTCCCACCAGAGCAGCACAAATGAAGACTTGTCTCTTTCCAAACGCTCTTAAAGGACGATCGTTTTGACTGTTGACCGTGACACCCTCATCAGAAAAATGTCCAACATGAGAAAAGTGGAGCCGAGTGCAGGATTTTACAACAAAAATTTACTTATTCCTATTTGCAAACAAGTTCATGTTAAAACATTGTGTTGAAATTGCATTTTTCTTAATGTTTCAGGTTGTTCATAATATTATAATATTTTGTCAATCAAATGAAAATGATTTCTGTAATAGATTTGTGTTTTTCTGCACAAATATTTGAACTTATTGTTATTTTTGGGGTTTATATGACATGAGTTTTCTGATCCGGCCCCTTTGAGATCCAAGTCGGTTGGATACGCCCCCCGGACTCCTGGTCTAGATGGTTAATTTGTCATGAATCAGTATTTATTCAGCCTTTATTAATGTCTAATTCCCCATAAGTTTATTCTGCTTTTAGTTAGACATTTACAAACACTTTCCTATTAATACTCTCCTTATTACTGCTTATTAATATGATATTAAGCCATTTTTTCCATGAATTATGATTCTAATAAACTTTTGGTAATAAACGTGTTGTTAAGGACAAGTAGCACAAGAAATGTAGTTTTGACTTATCTGGACTTAATACATTTAGCTTACTTAAAGGTTGTATGGAGGATTTTTTTTTGTTTCAAATTGTCAGTGATAGATTATAGATGCAGGAGCCTTGTAATTATGATGACCAAAAAAAAGAGAATAAAAATTCATCAACTCTGGACGTGGTGGGGCTAAACATTTGCCAATA